GCGTTTCTCTGGCGCTCCGCTACAGCCCAGGCTGGGCAGCGAGGTCAGGGCTCTTACCTTACTCCTGGTCTATCTTCCCCTACCGCGTAATGCACTTCCACGTAACTCCTATTTTATTATTTGCCTAAATATCTCGCCCTGCTTCCAAGTCGTGGTACTCTTTGATGTGAAGCGTGTCAATTCTGGATATCTGTGAACAGTGTGTGAGGCACTCGCTTACCTGCTGCCCATAAAGGCAGCTGCCATTTTAACTCTCCTCATTGCCCTGGTCTCCACAACGTCTCCGAGCTCCCCTTCCACACAGTTTGTTTCCATTTTTTATTTTTGCGTGTAGGCCTTCTTTAACCTCTCTCTTGCTTTTTCTTCCTTTCTCTTCTTGCTTTCAACATCGTGGAGTCCCTTTTGTGTTCTCAGTCTTCATCCCGGCATACATGTAACCCCTTTATCTCCTGTTCTTTCCTGAGGTTTCCATATGCTTGTGCCTACTCACAGATCCTAGACACAGCAGAGAAGGAAGGGGGAAGAGCAATCACCATCTTCCCTGACAGGTTTCAGTCATGTCTGGGCTGGGGACACCCTTTTTTCCAGGGGTATCCTCACCACCACTGCCAATGGCAGAGGGCAGACGTGGCTTGGGGCAATTTGAGGCTTCAGTTCTGTTTTAAATAATGTGCATAGGGAATTTTGATTATGGTTCAAACATAGGACTTAGATTACAGAAATTTTTAACTTGTGCCCAGTATGACAGAGCTAAAGACGAAAACTGACCATTTTGGTATTACAGGGTAATTCTAAAAGGAGAGTGTCTGTTGTACCTACCCATATCTCTCTAGGAGGGAGACACGCCTAAAGCTGCTAATTTTATTTCCTTCTTGGCCTTCATGGTTTTTCTATGGCACTTGCACTAGTTTTCTTTTAATCTCGCCTATAGTCACTGATTCTATCTAGCAGAATAATTCCCAGTCATTGTAGAGGAAAATCTGGTATGCTTTTTGTAGGTTGTCCCCATTGAAATTGTTACAGTCTGTCCTTTTAGATTGTACTTTTTCTTATGAGCCTTTCCAATGAATCATAGCAGATCCAGTTATAGAGATGATACTTCCATGTTTGCTAAAAATAAAAACTAACACTAAATTTTGGAACAAGATATTTGCTCTTTAAGAGACAGATGCAAAATCAGTGATAGTTTTGTGGATGGGGTCCTTAGATTAATGTCCTTGGGGAACAATTTTTCTATTAGCCTTATCGCTTCCACAAATTCTAACTTGACATTTTAAAATGATCCTGTAGCCAAATAGAAAAGTACTTCTGGTAAGTCAGCATATGGTAAAGAATATCCTAGAATCACTTCACAAATATGCCAAGCTTGTGTTCTGCAACTGTTAGGCAGGTTTTTTCTCCTGCGCTTTTTTTTTTTATGGGAAGAAAATCTGTTAATATATGAAGGTACAGAAAGATAAAGTAAAAATCCAGGGGGCTTAAGCAGTTCATCATCCTTTTTTTACCATATCTGTGTGTTAATTAAAATAATAGCAATAAAATTACTTAGTATGTTTATTTTAGGGTGGAGGAATTTTATCAGTAGATAATAGCTTTTTATTTTTGTAGCAATGCAGGTCATACTGAAAGATCTTTCAGCCTCCTGTGGATGCTTAAAACTTGTTTTCTTATAGTCAGTGGAAAAAATATGGAGGTTTACCTTGTGAATTGTGTTGTTGTGTTAATTAATGAGCTGCTGTTGCTTCTAAATAATTGTCACGCTATGGGGCTTGGTAGTCATGTGAATGAGTTTGTATGTTTGTGTGCTGTCCCCTTAGAATGTAAGAATAATATGGTCTCTCTCAGGGATGAAAATTGTAAATATTGAAAATTTATTTGAATTATTTTAGGAAGGAAGGGATCACCTCTCTGGCAGCTAGAATAAGCCAGCCATTTTGAGAGTGGGAGAGAAAGACACACACACACACACACGGCAGAAGTGGTTCAGTTTTATAAGGACAGCAGTCTCTGTCATACTGGACACATGCTTGACACGTGAATAGTAATCAGCAGTGCTGTACTAGCTGTGGGGCTTATTATTAATTTCTCAATTTATTTGAGATATTGTTGGTTTGTAAGTATCAGCTGTGTACGTTGGACTTCTCGGGTAGTATTGAGCTGTAGCCATGAATGGTAGGATGTCTTGAAAGCAAGAAAGAAAGAGGTGATGATGTCCGTTATTCTGATCCGTGTTTGTTTATGTTTGAAATTATTGAGATTCACAACTGGCTAAGAAAACCTACTTTGCTTTACATTCCAACAAGACTGGGGCCATAATGTAAAATCCTTGCTTTGGGGAGGGGGCAGGAGGGGTAAACACACAAAACTTGGGAAGATGTGTTTTCTCTGTGGTGGTATTAGTAGAAATCTCTCCTGTATTTCTAGATGTATTGTTAAATTACTTCATATCAGGCAGCAATTTAACTGTGCATCACTGTATGTAGTGGCAGAAGATAGGCCAAACACTGGGATAAAAAAAAATCCTCCATACAAATGAAAGTGGGCTATGTGAGAAATAGCTGTGCAGTACTATCAGTAAAAGACCCAAACCTTTTAGACTTGTCATTCGGGAGTTTTCGTGTGTTAAACAGAGAAGGAATGCACATAGTAAGATGCCATTTCAATATAGAGCCCAGCAATTCCCCTGCATGCAGGTTTGCAAATCTTTTTCCATTCATAAAGAAGGGAAATGTGTAACACAAAATTAAAGTAATATTTTCAATTTTCTGAAAAAACAGTGCAAGCATAACATTCTCATAGTGGCTTGCTCAATTACTGTAAAGAAACTCTCTCTGCTTTATTGTAATTGTAGTGAAAAAAACATGGAGAATGTTTCCAAGACATCATGAATCCAGCCAATGATGGTAGGATTAGGACTGGTAATTTTGGCAAACTTCAAGTGGCAGCATCAAATCTGGTGTCCTGCATTGTTGCCACCCCTGGATGCCTGCCCCTCTGCTGACACAACACTGCCCCTGAGGCAGAGATGTCTCATTTGTTTCTGAATTGATTCCAAAACCATTACAGTTTTCAGCCAGTATATTACAGTCAGCTGAAGTTAGTATCAGTTAACGTTAATAAACTTGGTTAAGCATGGTGTGGATTCTGGAGTATGCTGATAACCAGATCAGGTGTCCCTGCCTTGAAATTGGCAATGGCCATCAGAGAAAACTGAGGAAGGTGAGGATAGTGACAGTGTCAGCTGGTATTTTTTAATCTGCTGCTGAGTCTGCCAGAGACCCTGTTCTCAACCTTTTGTGTAAGACACAGAAAGCTACTGAAAGGCTGTGTCCAAGAAGAACCACCCACATTTTCTGGAGATTACTCCAGAATTAAGAAAAATTAAGAAAGTTAAAACCCGTCAGGTGTTCTCTCCAGTTAAGCAGATTTGAGCTGGAGCTTGCTGGTGAAACAGAATGTATGTTTGAAATTTCATGAATATAACAAGCACAAAAGAACCTGGATGGGATATACAGAAGGCAAATACATTAAATCCTGAATGTATTTTAAAAGTGGCTTAAGACTCAGACTAAGAGAATGAAAACCAAAGTTTAATGCCGTATTCTTTATTTTAACCTGTGATTAAAGATGAGTGGACAAACTTCCACAAATTGAGAGCATCAAAAATGAGAGAAACCAATCCCATTCCCTCCTGTTCAGCAGACTTCTGTGCTGACTGCAATACAGACAGAACTGGTTCTTCAGTTAGTTCTAGATAGGGATGTATTCTTACCTCACATGAAGGACATTATGCTTCAAGAGGTTTTTTCAACTGTGATAGCTTTGATTCTCAAGTATGCCTGCTTCTACTTCTATGCTCAGTGTGTGCACTGTATTCCTGAGCATTGGTAGGTTATTTCATAGAGACTTGTGAGCAGTAATCTTTCTCCTATGTTAACTTTGTTCAGGATCCTGAAGTTCTGAAAGGAGTTTTAATCTAAGTGAGTATAGAACTGAACCCTTGCTTTTGTTGATGTACAGATGGAAAGCATAGGTGATGGCAATTTCTGTAACTGCCCTACAACTGGAGTGCTGTTTTTACGTGACTTATATGTGGGTCTTTCTATGCGAAATCAAACCATCTGTCTCTGTTCTCCCTGCTTACACCTGTGTTTCTGGTGCCTTTATTGGCCTAACCTTGATAATGTGTGCAGGATTTGATTCTCTGTGTAATATAGAATGTAAATATGTCATCTAGGTCTGAACTAACACAGCTGTGTTTTCAAAAGGAGCAATGTATTGTTCATACTCTTTGCTTATTGCTTATCAGGTTTACTAGAAAGCAGTACAAGGCTAAAACCTCATGAAGCTCAAAGCTACAGAAAGAAGGCATTGTGGGTTTCCTGGGTCTCCATTATTGTCACACTGGCTCTTGCAGTGGCTGCTTTCAGTGAGTATTGGGAATATTTTAAATCTTCACACCTTTTTTTTTTTTTTTTTTTTTTTTTTGGGCTATTTTGGGAATATTTTAAATTTTCCCCCCTTTTTTTTTTTTTTTTTTTTTTTTTTGGGCTCTCAGAATGTCTCTCTTTGTGAAAGCTTTCTTATTTTTTTTTTCTTTTTTACAACTGATAAAGAGGTTTCTCTTTAGACTGCCTGTGTCTGCGTGGTGCTTATAAATTAGTAAAACTGTTGTTTTTTTCTGCAGATAGGGTTGTTGAAGGTCAGTTAAAGAAATAGGAGATGTTGATTCCTGCTACCATTCATGCATGTGGAACTGTTCATTTCACAGAATAGTGTAAAAATCATTATGCTGTGGATTGCTTGTAGCCAAAGAGGTCAAATATGACAAGCCTTAATCCTTGTGGGATTTGTAGTGGAAATGCTATAATAAAGAATAGTGAATTGTAAGGAAGAAATATATAATTTATCTGTATTAAAATGACAGTTACCCTAACACAATAGTAATCTGGAGGAGAAATACCAGTGTTTTAAGCTAGTGCTTTTCTTGAAGTTTCAAGATGTTTGTCTAATTTACCTTTACACAAAGAGTTTGAAAATAAAAAGCAACCCAAACCACTTTTATATGGAAAAAATGAAATTGATTTCTTTTATTTCCAAACAGGAAAAGACACTACATTGTATAAAGAAAGGTATATTTTTAGTTCAGTGCAAATTTGTAGAATACCAGCTTTCCATCTCGGTCAATTAAGTAACATTGCACTACTGTAAGGACAAAAAAAAATGTGGGATTTGGAGCAAACTCTTTGTAGTTCCCCATTCTCTGTTTTAAAGGAGGAAGAAACAGAAATTATTAGGTTTATATGTTTGTATAAACAAAAGGAAAGCTCTGTTTAGGAGACAATACATCTAAGATGTCTCAAAACACTATTCTTGGCTTGATAAAGACCAACCTGCATTATTTTACTTTTTTTTTTTTTAAAAAAAAAAAAACCACAGCAGCATGTGTTTTAGTATTCTAATCTGCAGCATATGACCTGCTGTTGGAAGTTAGTGTCAGCTCCCAGGAGACATTATTAGAATCTGACCAAATGGTCTCTGAAAACTGAATATATATTACTCAGAGTGATTTACATAGAAACACAGATACAATAACGTGATTCAAAAAGAAGAAAAAAGAGAAGGAACACTTAAAAGCAGAATCTAATACTGTAAAGAATTTGAATGCTAACAAGAAAGCCAGACATCTGAGTTCCCATTTTGTTCAGTTTCATGAAAATAGAATAGTCTGTCTTTGCTACTGAATCAACATAAAAGTTAATACCATGTTACAAAATAACTTAGTTACCCATTAATTGTATAATTTTAGGGAATATTGAGAAATGCCATTATTGTATGTTTTCATTTGTTAGAGTTGCAAGAAGTAAGTATAATACAGATAACTAAAACATTCAGTTTAATTTAAAAAGGTCTTTTAAAAAATTTCTTAAGATTATTTAGGCTATTTTCTGTTTTCCTTATTTGTGGCACTCTGATAGTGTTTAGAAACCCTAGCACAAGAAAACAGCAGAGAAGGTTGTCCCCATTGGATACACTCTGACTGCATACTCAGCTGGAGTGGACAGGCGTTAACTACTGAAATCAGTTGTTAGGAGTAATTACTAATTATTTGGGTTTGGAACGTATCTTTCCTTGTAGTTTGAAGAGGCTAAAATTTATGAAGAATAAAAGAGGAATTGGCACACAGATACATATTAAATCTGTATGGAATTTCTTAGTAGACAGTTGACAGTTAACTTACATGCTACAAAAGCATTGCCAGGGCTTTTAATATGTTTACTATTAAACCTTTGTGATCTTTGAGGAATATATGGTGATACTTCTGCACTCACTTTGCTCCCCCATGCAATTTCAGCAGTTCTGCTCAGTTTCTTGTCTCACTTTGGCTGCTCTCTTCCTTTGTGCTCTCCTTTTAGCAGGTTCCTCTTAGCCAATCCATGAATTGGGAGGCATGCCAGGTGACCAGAGTTTGCTGCCTGTTTGATATAAATGACTAGTTGTCACTTTGGAGTGCCTGACACTGCCAAGTCTTTGCAAACACCTGCTATTTAAAGCATCCTGCTTCCGTTTTCCTTCTTGTCTGTAATGGTGGAGTGTTAGCAATACAGCCCCGTGTGCCATTTCAGTGAAAAGTGGGGACCTGCTGTAGTAATTGCTGGGCTACGCTGACTGTAGTCTTACTACTCTTTCTGATTCCCCTGTAAATGCTTCTATAAATTTCTGGTTTATCCTCTTGCAGGCTTCAAAATACTTTCTTGCAAGTGTATCTTACTGGGCTGTTTTTGCAGCAGAACATGATATCGTAAAGATACTAGGCCAGGGAACTGATGTTATTTTGTAACTGTAGTTGAAGGAATGGAGGGCATGGAAGGTAAGAAAAATACTAAAGGAAGTGATAGGTCTGTGTGTAGAGTGGGGAAGTGATTCAAGAGCCTCCTTTTCCAACCAAGTGTTTGCAACTAGACTTCCTTTCCTTTCCTTTTTTATGGTCTGAACCCTTCCTTGAGTGCTGAAGCTTGATTGCCATCCTTACCTTCAAGACCAGCCTAGTTGCTTCCAATGCTATGGTTTTCCAGCAGTAGAGTAAATTGGAAGGGTTTGTATTGACTAGTATGAGGTGTTTTCTTTTTAATACATATTTTTATAATTATATAGTCATAAACTAGGCATGATAAAAATCACTAAGATAAACACTAATCTATTCCTCAGCATGCCAAGTAAGTACTGGAATAATGTTAATATAATTATTTCTGTTTTACAGTAATATTAAAAATGATAACATAATATAAAGGGCTTTTTGCAATGTGTTGTGTAAGGCTACCATCATGTCAAGTCTCAATCATTTCATAACAACAACTAACTTCTTTTTGTTGCTGCAGTATCATAGGTTCATACTGAGCCTTGTTTCAGGAATAATAGAGGATGAGGGATTATTACAGGTGGAATGGAACTTGGTATTTTGAAACCCATTATTCTCAGTTTCCTGACATTTATGTTTTACATAATTTTGAAAAATATATCTTTTGGTGTTGTATTTTAATTTCTGTTCAGGCAGCTAATCTGTGATAATGTTGTCAAAGCAGAAAACAAACTCTCATTCTGTCTGTTTTTTCTTGCCCGGTGTAGACTTGTGATTCACAAAAAGTAGCCTGTTCATTCATCTTCCTCACTTGATTAGCTAAAATTGTTTCACAGTAAATGGAGTAGTCATATCAATATATCAAAACAATGTATAGACCAAATTCTGCACTGAAAGCTTTTTGTAGTCAGCGATGGGGTGAAGATTTGGAATGTATGCCTTTGTAAATGTAAGCTGTGTTTAGGGCTTTCATGAGGCAGCCTTCGAGGTGGAACTTGCAGACAGCCTGGCCCAGAGTGGTCCGAGCATGCTGGAACAGGCCCTGCAGCCTAATGCATCCTGGGAAGAGTGGTGCTGGGCTAGTGGCAAAATGCTGGGGAAAGGGCAGGCAGGCTGTGAAATCGGTCCCTCAGGGTTGCCTCAGAGATCACTCCTTTCAGATCGCCACAGCCGTATTCAAGGGTTCAGCTTCACAGAAATAACTGAAAACGGGAGTGCAACAATAGGCCTGTGATTTGAGGTCCTATCCTGGTAAGCGTTTAGTCTAGTACAGTAAATACGTACTGTTATTTTGAGAAGGTGAATTCTGTAGTATCTCAGATGAAAACTTGGTAGATAGGATTCTGTAAGTGGGGGATTTTATAGGATTAGCTATTGGCCCATGCTTAAGATATTGCAAGTAAATGCAAAGACACTGACAGTCTGAATTTGTATACAAAATCATTTGTGTTTCAGAATGAATTACTGAAAAATAGTTTATTCAAGTGAGCTTTCACATACTGGGATTAGAGAGGCTTTCTGTTTGAAATAGTCTATACACTCAGAAATTTCAGGGTAGAGCTTGCTTTCAGATTAAAGCTTCATCCTGGTTCAGGCTCTTTAACAGACAGATTCAAGTGCCAATAAACCTTAGGAAGTATGGATCCAGGTCCACTTCCTTCACTGGAAAGCCTCAACTGAGCCATAAAATCTTATTTTGATTACCTGTAGGTCATTACTGCTGATTTTCCTTCACTATTATGCTACTTTAGTGTACTGCAAATGGAGTTACATGGGACAAACAATGAGCAATTGACGGTGTTATCCTCTGGATGCTTGGATGTGGTCATATTGATGTAATCTGTCACTCCTTATCTGAGGTGTACTACTCGAACAGCTGAGTTGGGGAGTGACTATATTAATTTATTGATGAATATATAATTTTCCCACTGACACATTCCTGTTCTTGCTTGAAAAATTAAATTTATGCTGGCTTTAACTTATGTTTGCACAATACTTAGTATACCCTGGCTGCAGCTGTGAAGAATAGTAGTAATATTACTAATAATATAGGTGCAGATTCCTGGCTCTGAGGCCCTTTAGTTTGATACTCAATTCAACATTCTTTAATAGCCACTGAATTTCAGACAAATGATGGGCTTTTGGAACTCGAGCCTGGTTTAGAGTGTCTCAGCTGGGTACTGAAACAGAATTCTCCAGGTTTGCTGACCACATGAGAAGTATTGGTCTTTGCATTTTCTCTTCCAGAAGCTATACAGAATTGCATTTCTCACTCCTAAAGACCTGAGAATTTGAATGTTTTTTTCTTTTTTTTTCAGGAGAGCACATTATATTTATCTAGCATGTTACATTTGAGGTCATAATACCATGCTAAATACTGAATAGAACTGCTGGGTGATAAGTATGCAGCTTCCTCATTCTGCATGTTTCTCTGGGAGTTTAATTATATCAGTTACAAAAAGACAGATGCTTCAGGGCTGTAGTCTCACAAAAGTGCTAATGAAATACAGAACTTAAATTCCCAAGGTGGAGTTCTGATATTGTTGACACTTGTGCCACCCTATCATCCT